TTGATCCAGCTCTCAGATTTAATCAAAAATATCTTAACTTGTGTTGCGAAGATGAACGAAAGTCTTACGGGGTTGGAACAACATGAGGGTGAGTAATTACTGACAGAATTTTCATTTTGGGGGTGAACTAACCCTTTAACTTGACGTTTACATTTTGAAATAACATGTTTCAATCAAGTAACCCAATCAAAAAGGACTTTCACGTCCCATCAAGCTTTGCACGGAGCTGAATTGGGAGAGTAAATGTTAAATAAAGTGTTATTTTATGCATTTAGCAAGATGAGAAAATTGAGAGACTTGTTAAAGGGATAGTTCACCCAAAAATGAAAATTAGCCCACGATTTATAGTCACCCTGAAGTCATACACTTCGTTACTCTGTTGGTGTAAGTCGACGCGTATGGCTGTCTGCCGGAAGTTAGTTATTTTAGTCGATAAACTTTAAATATGGATATTTTTCTTACACGAACACATCGCTTCGCTTCAGAAGGCCTTTATTAACCCCCCAGAGCCGTTTCAAACACTGATGGACTTCCAAAATCATATACCCATTCACTCCCATTATAAGGTTTGGAAGAGCCAGGACATTTTTTATATAGGCTAACTCCGATTGTATTCGTCTGAAAGAAGAATATCATATACACCTAGGATGGCTTCAGGGTGAGTAAATCATGGGCTAAATTTCATTATTGGCTGAACCATCCCTTTAATGTTTAATGTTCTATTAGGGAATTTAAAAGTGTCTATTGTTTTGGGGGTTAGCATTGTGGTGAAGTGTTGAGCTGTGCTTGGGTTGAGGACCTGCTAACAGGAATTCAGATTGCTTTAATAATACAAATTTCCACTATGGTAGCGTTCTGAATGAATTCAGCATCACTGCCAACACTAAACATCACATGTGTAAAGAAAGGTTAGTAGTTTGTATGACAAAACAAGATGCATTAATTGTAGGATTATTTGAATAATTCAATTTAAATAATTAAAAAAAAAACAGTTATTTAAAGCTGCAGTCCGCAGTTTTTCCTCTTTGTCGCCATCTCTGTTCGAAATCTGCAATTGCAGTTATTGGCGGAATTATCAACTTTACGCGAGTTGTAGTTCGACACCGCACAGCGCGGATGAACACAATGTTTGAGGAGAGTGTGCAGCTGTCAATCACCGCGCCGCTGTCGATACTGTCATTCAGAATCACAGATTATTCTTTTTGGAAGTATGACCAACATAATCATTTTCACCGGAACATGTCATCTGAACAAGTAAGTAACATCAGCTTTTGTTCTGGTTCTGACATTGCAGTAAAACGCGCTGATTAAATCTAACAATCGATCATATCACGTAAACCGTGCAAATTATACTTTGTTCTCAAATTGTTAATGTTAACAACGTCAGCATTGCGTGACTACTACATGCAATGTCCTTCCGATATGTATCCTTGTTTTCGCATGGGTCTGGTTGCAGTGTCTTTTTTTCACTCCGAAGTCCAAACGAAGTCTTTTGCATTTTACAACGGGTGAATCTGTTGTCACCATAGACAGTATAAGAAGTGGACATAGCCATCTCATTGGAACTCAGTTGAGACAGTTGAAGCCCATTTTTAGCGATTTTTGAGCACTTCCGTTCCTGACGCGCAGACTCAAACCGACTCAAACTAAGCTTGATGACGTGAGCAACCTGTCTGACAGACGTTAATCTTCTAATAGCTGTGCGTGAAAATTGCCAACTTTAATCTTGCAGAGACGGGGAACTTGAGCAAAGAGTTCTTTGGCGTGAGTGAGCAGGAGTAAGTATTCCGTTGCTTTTATGGACTCATTATCTATGGGCTTCTCCCTTGACGGGACGTCCCCCCGATTGCCTGCGAGCTTCTCCTCCTGTCTGTACGGTTATTTCTGTACAGCGCGACAGAGAGTCGAGTGGTTATGACGCAATCGTTAGCCTATTTTTACTAAATCTGTTTCTACGGGGCCATAATGTAACATAGAAGGTAATGGAGCCCTTTATACATTGTCGTGTTTCTTTAGAAATAAATAATGGACAAATGGAGTCTTTAAACGCCTCAGATGTAAAGTTATTTGCTGTCAAAGTGACGCCAAAATGAATGGGAGTCAATGGAAATGCTAACGCAAGTGAAGTTCTGCTACAAGATGGCGGCACCCGGCCGGCTTCAACTTCCGGTCGATGGATTACCCCCTTGAGGTTGTCACTGGTGATTGTCGTTTGAAGCTTTCTGGATCCGCCATCAAATTGATAAGTTTAATTATATCAAGTCAAGTGCTTTGAGAAAAGGCTATAAATCTCCACCTCCAACATCCTCACACACAATATAGCTTATACTAGCCGAGGCTCCTTCTTTATGTGTACAGATGTGACGTAATGACGCAAGACATGCTCGAATCTCCCGCGGAAATCCACCAGTACCACTAGAATTAAAAACATTATTACAAGCTTACCGTTTTGAATCGAGCTAAGGCAAGCAGATAGTTTTGAACACATGGCAGGTTATGTATTTTTTCAAAAATGTATTTTGAAAAATGTATTACAGAGTGCAGCTTTAAGTTAAACTAAAACCATTCATTCAAGTTAAATAAACGCCATTGATTTTAGTTCAGCCAAAGAGTTATGAAAAACATGGTTTCTTCATCATTTCCATTTATGTCTAAGCTCAGACAGTATGCTGTAGGCAGCCGTTCAACTGTAATAGTACACTCAAATATGATGTAATCTCGCTGTTTCTGTCTCACACAGTAATGACATTTTAGTAAAAACAATTTGTGATGGAGTGAATAATAAAATTTCATCTGTCAACACAGTCATGCTGCGTCTAAAATCGTGTTCTGAGGTAGGCCTACTACATATGATTTTGAATTTATTTCACTACCATTAAAAAAGTGTTTTGTATGTTGTATAAATTAAGTTCAGACTTATTACATCCACCATGTTGTTACTGTCAAATGACCTACCAGCGTCAGCTGCGTCACTTCACTGCCATTCATAAATCCCCTCCCATGGCCTCATGGGATACTTAAGTGACCATCAAGTGCGCACTTTAGAATCTCGGCGGAAGTAGTAGGTCACCCGGTGATTTTTCGGAAACTTTGTTCCCCCGAATACTATATATTCGAACATACTCTTTTGCATACTATATAGTATAGTAAAGTATTAAATTTCGGACCCAGCGTCTGACTTTGTTTTGTTTGATACAGAGCCCCTTATAGGTGCTCTAAGCAATATCACCCGTTTTTTTTAGAACGAGATGAGAGAATAAATTATCAAAAACATGGTGAAGGGGGGAAAAAACGAGATGAGAGAATAAGTTATCAAAAACATGGTGAAGGGGGGAAAAAACGAGATGAGAGAATAAGTTATCAAAAACATGGTGAAGGGGGGAAAAAACGAGATGAGAGAATAAATTATCAAAAACATGGTGAAGGGGGGAAAAACGAGATGAGAGAATAAATTATCAAAGCTTTTGCGTTCTCTTGCAAATGTTTTGTGTTCCCCTAAAAAACGTTGCATTTGCTTGCAAAATGTTTACGTTCCCCCAAGAAATTTGAAACATTGAAATATATTTTTTTCCACATTTAATTCCATTGCATGTCCCTTTATGGTCTTGTTTGGTTCGTGTTTTTTTTTTGCACATTACTTGCAAGTTATTTTTTTTCTGTAAGAGTTTAAGATTACAAATTATGCATTCAGTAATTATTATTATTAGATAACAAAATCCTCCACTTGACTATTTTTAACTCCACTTGATGAGTTTTCATTTTAGTACAAAATGTGTACATTTATAATAATCATAAATAGGCTATATTAGAAATTGGAGCATTTATATATCTCTAATCCAATCAATCCGACATTATCATTAGCTTATCCCATAACAACTTTTGGGAAATTAAAACAATCCTAAAACACCATTTACAGGCAAAAATAATCTTTTCGCCTCATATTTTCAAATTGGAAGAATTTTTTCCTGTATAGCCTGCTGTGACATACCCTAGTCATAGTTTCTGTTGTTATTCTACAAGAGCAGTGAGCAAAGCTACACTCACTTCTGACTTCTCAAAAGTCATCAAACATTGATGTTGTAAGGCCCGCATGAAAAGTGATCGTCTGAGATAAATGGACAGAATAATTCCTCCTCTATCCCAGGTTCACACTGTGAGGCCCATACAAATGCACTTATTCTTTTGTGCACTTTCAATCATGTCATGATGAATACAAAAAGAGGAAATTGCGATGTTCACCTCTCATTTGCACCGGATTTTTCAGGACTGAGTTTGGAAAAAACAGTGAACAGAGAGCGGAATTTTGCAACAAACAGAAAAATCTCATTCTAAACTTTTTGATTTATTCTTAGTAAGACCTTCTCTCAATTGGCATCAGATTTTTGTAGAATATGTGAAATAAATATGATTAAGAATATATTTATTTAACATAGTAATTATACATTTGGTATAGGCTACATTAGTAATATTAAAGTAATATTAATACATGTTATATAGGGTTAGGTTTTGGTTTAGGGTTAATAAAGTATTATATGCATAATTTATAGTTATTACTCTAGTAACATGTAACAAGGACAAGGACTATACAAATCATTTATATATTAGTGCTGTCAAATCGATTAATCGCAATTAATCGCATCTAACATAAAAGTTTTGTTTACATAATATATGTGCGTGTATAATATTATTATATTTATTTATATTATATATGTCTGTGGTTGGGTGTGTATACTGTATAAACACACACAGATATACAGTATGTGTGCATATGTGTGTACACACGTACACATAATATATACATATAATAATATATATACACACATATATAAACAAAAACGTTTCTGTTAGATGCAATTTTGTATGATATATGGTCACACTCAAACTGTATGTCATGAATGATGTCACACTCAAAACCATAAACATGCCCATAAAACAAGAGCTTTATTTTTAGAGATTGTAATTCCCTTCCTATGTTTAAGTGGGTGTGAGTGTAACTCATGGTTTCTCCCCTCCATCTCATTGTACCACTTACTTTTCTCCACACTACTCTGACATCACTGGAGTTTCCCCTGGTCTTACAGTCTCTGAGCTTTAAAAAGAATGAAGAACCAGTATATTCTGAACACAACAGTGACAGACCAGCCAAGCAAAGCACTGAAGTGATAAACTGCGCTGAGAAGACTTTACAGAATCTTTTAAAAAGCATTTTGGCAGTATCTTGTACATCTTTCGGAGAACTAACACAGTAATGATGGAGCATGACAGTCAAGTATTGTTGGGTCTTGAAGAAGGGACGCTGCCTTTACCAAGGGTGATGGTGTCGAGGAGGAAGGCTAACTCTTCAAAGTCAGGCGTATGGCGGGTGTGTGGGGTTTTTCTGGCTGTGACCCTGTGTGCTGCAGCTGCTGTCTGCTTCACGCTCAACAAGGTCAGAATCTTGATCCGTATACATTACATTATCATAATTGCCTTATTAGATGTTTAATCGTGTCTCTTGTTCTCTCTATAGTCTCAGAGTAATCAGGAAAGTGGAACTGGTGAGTTCAGACACTAACTTTCAGATCCCCTTTGTTCCATTCATACCAGCTTATTTTATTTTCTGTGGAACTTAATAATCTTATACAAGTAATTTTGTGTTTCTCCCCATCAGGGCTCAGGCTTTCAACGAGAGATCATTTTTCACAAGCAAATTTCACTTCCAAGGCTGCCATCCATTTAACAGGTAAGCTTGATTCCAAAGTGCTAAAAGTGGTAAATGGGCTGTGAATAAATAGTACAAAGTCTTGCACACCAAATGTGCTAGTCTATTATAACAGAATGCATTAAAAGTTTAAACTATTTTGCATTATATTATACATTGTAAGTCCTTGGGGCCATATGAAGTCTAAAAGGTGTCTGCAATCTTGAATCATTTGGTTGTGCATCCAAAATTGTAGGATGTGTGTTATGTTTATATTTCACTCCTATATAATTTTTTTCTTAGAACGGCGACTTGAAACTCAAAAATTGGTTGCAGGTCGTTCTGATAGGGTCAGGGATGCATAATTAGCATGCTTTTCATATCTTATGATGTTAAAGTCAAAGGGCAAAGTAAAACTCTTTAATAGGACACAAATTCATCTGTCATTTAGAAATTAAACAATTATAGATGCCAATATGAACGTTGTGGTAATGAACACATGATGCATGCTCTCATCCTTGAAAACCATACAAACTATACAAGTAAAAGAAAATATGACCCTGACTACAGTTTATACAGTTTCACTTACAGCAAACATAAATGTAGTTTTTGCATTTAGTGTGCTAGCTGGCAAGAGCATATTGAAATTAAGAGACATTTAAAAATAAAATAAAAACATTTAATTTGTTTAATTTTAGGAAAAATGTTGTTCAATGTGTTAACATTAATTAATGCATCAAGTATCAATTTAATGTGTCCTCAAATAACAATTTTACAGCACTAATTGATCTAGGCAATTTATAAATTGTTGATTATTAATTCTTATTTGTTCCTATTATAATAACTAATGTTAATTTATGCAGCTTGAAACGTTCAAATATTAGTAGCCTATAGGCCGCCTATGTATAGCTAAATTGCATTAAACAAGACCTTAAAATAATTATGGCAGTCTACTTTGTTGGGATGCACTTGATGTCTAATGTAAAATCTGAATCTGACTTATTCCATGTTTTTTGTATTCTCTTCTATAGGTGGATATGAGACTGAAGACACAACCCTAGATTGGAGAGTGAACCAGGACCAAGCTTTCTCTTCAGGCGGCTTGAAATTAGTAAATAGGGAGATCATCATTCCTTATGACGGCATTTACTTCGTCTACACCCAGGTCTCTTTCCACATCAGGTGCTCGACTGACAGGACTGAGGACGACGACGACACTGTGTATATGAGCCACGTGGTGAATCGCTTTTCCGATTCCTATGGAAGCAGTAAGCCGCTTTTCAGCGCTATCCGCTCCACCTGCGAACACTCGCCTGACACTGAAGAGCTGTCGTACAACACAATTTACCTCGGCGCGGCCTTCCAGTTACGAGCCCGAGACAGACTGAGCACCGAAACCACTTCAAAACTCCTGCCCCGTGTCGACAATGAAAATGGAAAGACCTTCTTTGGGGTGTTTGCTCTATGAACATGGACGTCAAGCAAAACTTGAAAAGTAAGGAAAGAATGGAAACCTGTGAAGAGGAAAGCAATATGCTGAGCTTCCACTGCAATGCCACCATTGCTGAGACTGAAATGACTCCTGGTCAATGTTTTATATTAAAACAGGACAAAACTATAACTCCATGAAACATATGGATCAGAGGAATCCAGATATGATTTTAAGTGAGGGAAATCATGGGCATTTTGTCATGTCCATGAAAGCTGTCCAAGTTATTTATATTGTTTTTGGTAAAATGTTAAAATATTGTGTATTTATTTATTTAACTATTTATTTAACTATTTATTAAAAGAATGAAAAACTACTGCACTGCTACTGTAATGAAATTCAAACATTTAATAAATCTAAAACCAAATGAACACTCAATCCACTTAATCCTATTATTAAATCAATTAATGAAATTCTGATGTGTAATTTGCAGTTTTCCTTTAAAACAGAAGACAATCTTCAACTGTCTTTGGCTCTGATATTATAGGCTACTGAGAGCAAAAGGATGAAACGTTGGTTGTGTAGAGGAAACATTGGTTGTGTGATGAAATTTTTCTGCCAAAAAAGGCCAAACAAACTTTTTATTGTCCTAGTTCGCAAGATATTTGTATTAAAATTTTGAAAGCCGGGACCTAGGAAAACGTCTCGGTTACGTATGTAACCCTAGTTCCCTGATAGGGAACGAGACGCTGCGTCAAACGCTGCGGGAACGCCCCTGCGTTGTGCGCCATGAAGCACGTATGGAATCAGCCCAATGGAGAGATGAAACGTCATAGGCGGGTGACGTCATCGACCAGGAAACTATAAAGCACCCCAAAAACACAAGCGCATTAGCTTCTGATAGGCTTGAAGGAAGCGCTAACGGGAGTGCCGGGAGTATGGCGGAGCGACGCAGCGTCTCGTTCCCTATCAGGGAACTAGGGTTACATACGTAACCGAGACGTTCCCTTTCAAGGGAACTTCGAGCTGCGTCAAATGCTGCGGGAACGCGAATACCCACGTCGCCATAGGACCAAATGACCGTCATGTGAGACTAGCGCACAGAGGACGAGAGCACCTGTGCCCCAGGGGTAGAGCTTAAGTCTAGGTCATAGAACTTAATAAAAGTATGCGGTGAAGACCATCCAGCCGCATCACAAACATCACTCAGGGAAACCCCCGACAGAAGAGCTTTAGAAGCAGCCATACTCCTGGTAGAGTGAGCTCGGACAACCAAAGGTGAAGGCTGGCCAGCCGAGTCATAAGCAAGTGAGATAGCCTCGACCACCCACTTGCTCATTCTCTGTTTAGACGCAGGACACCCTTTCCTGGGTGGCCCGAAACATACAAAAAGTTGTTCTGATTTCCTCCACAGGGCAGCTCTGTGGACATAAGCGTCTAATGCCCTAACAGGGCAGAGTGAATTAAGTTTCTCCTGGTCCGATGACATAAATGGAGGAGGACAGAAAGCCTGCAGAACCGTAGGTCTAACGATATTAGTAGGGACCTTAGGAACGTAACCTGGTCTAGGATGCAGAAAAGCTTTAACCATGCCAGGTGCAAATTCCAGGCACGAGGGTGAAACCGACAGAGCCTGCAAATCTCCGATTCTTTTTAGTGAAGAGATAGCAAGTAAAAAGATAGTCTTAAAAGTGAGAAACTTCTCGGGAACTTCTTCGATAGGTTCAAAAGGAGCTAGGGAAAGACCTTCTAATACAATGGCCAGATCCCAAGTCGGCACCCTCGTACGAACTGCTGGCCTCAGCCTCAAAGTGCCACGGAGGAAACGAGTTATAAGCGGGTGTCTCCCAAGAGAAACTCCACTGAAAGGGACGTGGTAAGCAGCTAGTGCCGCCACATACACCTTTAGTGTGGAGGGGGATAACCCTGTGGAGAAGCGCTCCTGCAGGAATTCCAGCACTGCACCCACTGGGCAGTTAACTGGGTCCTGCAGGTGTTCTCCACACCAAGAAGTGAAAAGTTTCCACTTCAAGGCATAAAGCTTCCTCGTGGATGGAGCTCTGGAGTTAAGAATGGTCTCAACAACCTCGGTTGAGAGACCGGAGTCTATGAGCTGGGCCCCCTCAGAGGCCAAGCCCACAGTTTCCACAATTCTGGGCGGGGGTGAAGTATCGTGCCGCCCGCCTGGGAGAGTAGATCCCTCCTGACCGGGAGCTCCAAAGGAGAACCGTCCAGGAGAGAAATCAGGTCCGCAAACCATACTCGGGCCGGCCAGAACGGGGCTACTAGTAGTAGACTGACCCCGTCCCGGCGGACCCTCTCCAGAACTCCTGGTAACAGAGCAATCGGGGGAAAGACGTACAGACGTGACCTCGGCCACGGCTGCACCATAGCATCCAACCCCAGGGGGGCTGGATGAGTGATGGAGAACCACCGATGACAATGCGTGGTCTCCTTGGAAGCGAATAGGTCCACCTCGGCGCGACCGAAACTCAACCAAAGGAGCTCCACCACCTCGGGGTGGAGTCTCCATTCCCCTGGCCTCGGCCCCTGCCTCGACAGGGAGTCTGCTACCACATTCAAATACCCAGGAAGATACATTGCTCTCAGAGATAGTAGCTTCCCTTGGGACCACAGGAGGATCTGACGGGCCAACTTGTAAAGCCGGCGAGACCGCAGGCCCCCCTGATGATTTATATAAGAGACCACCGACGTGTTGTCTGATTGAACTAACACATGATGGCCTCTCAGGTCTGTTAGGAAGTATTTCAGAGCCTGAAACACAGCCAACATCTCTAGACAATTTATGTGCCACGATAGATGATGATCCTGCCACAGACCTTGGGCTGGGCGACCACTCATGACCGCCCCCCACCCTGTGAGGGAAGCATCCGTCGTTAGCGTTATGCGACGACAAAGAGCCCCCAGCACAGGACCTTTGGATAGGAACCAAGTTTCTCTCCACATGACCAGAGCACGAAGGCAGCGCCGCGTGACTTTGAACGTGCGGAGCGGATTTCCCCTCGGGGAGAATCCCTTGGTCCTGAGCCACCACTGTAGCGGTCTCATGTACAACAGGCCGCAAGGTATAACGTTGGACGCTGCTGCCATCAGACCCAACAGTCTCTGAAACTGCTTCACAGTGAGTAGCTGGCCTAGCTTCACTTGTTTCACAGCTGAGAGAATCGAAGCGATGCGGGTCGGAGAGAGTCGCGCCCGCATCGAGACAGAATCCCAAACAACACCCAGAAAAGTGGTCTTCTGGGAAGGAGATAATACACTTTTCTTTGCGTTCAGCCTCAACCCCAACTTTCTGATATGAGCGAGGACGACATCTCGATGCCGAACCGCCATCTGCTCCGTCTGAGCTAAAATCAACCAATCGTCGATGTAATTGAGAATACGAATGCCCTGAAGCCTCAGAGGCACTAGTGCTGCATCCATGCATTTCGTGAAAGTGCGGGGAGATAAAGCTAGGCCAAACGGAAGAACCCTGTACTGGTACGCCTCGCCCCCGAAGGCGAACCTCAGGAACTTCCTGTGTTGTGGAAGGATGGAAACGTGGAAGTACGCGTCCTTCAGATCTATCGTGACAAACCAGTCCTCGGATCTGATTTGAGACACGATCTGCTTGATAGTGAGCATCTTGAATTTTAGCTTCCCTACTGAGCGATTCAATATGCGCAGGTCTAAAATTGGACGCAACCCCCCATCCTTCTTTGGAACGATGAAATATCGGCTGTAATAACCTGACTCCAAACTGGGAGGAGGAACCCGTTCTATAGCTTCCTTTTGAAGGAGCGTTTTCACCTCTTGTTCCAATACCAGAGCCTGCTCGGGGCCCACCACTGTGTGCAGAACCCCTCTGAATTTTGGTGGACGACACCTGAACTGGATAGCATAACCCTTTTCTACTGTCTGCAGGACCCAATGAGATATTTTTGGAAGGCTTTTCCACTCTGCCAGAAATTCTACTAAGGGTACCAGTCTCTCGAGACTGGCCTCTGGTGTAACTTGAGCAGCAAACGCAGCGCCCTGTAACGGCGCACCGGCAGGGAACAACTGGTTTGACCGCTCTGAGACCCTCCTCAGAGGGAGCGAGCGTCCCTCGGGAAAGCGCTCGCTGGGATCGTCTGTGCCCCGGCATAAAGGCGGGGTTGGCAGAACGAGCCCCTGAGGGCACCGAGGAGGAATGGGCACCGTAAAAAGAGGTGAACACCTTTCCGCCTCGGTGGGGACCACCCTCAGTATCCTGAACGCCTTGGCGTCAGGACTTCTTCTTAGCCGAAGCCTTCTTAGCCAATATAACTGTCCTCAGATCAGTTCTATTGCTAGAAGGCTTCGGCTGAGAGTGTCGCGGCTGAGCCCACTGTCCAGCAGGGGGAGCACGAGACGCGACACTCTGCCTCTGCTGCGCTCTATGTGATGAGCTCATAGACGGCCGGGGCTGCTCCCGCCCAGCAGCCCCAGGGACGTGAACTTTAAGGGGAAGAAACTTTTTAAAAGCTGCAGTTTGTTTCTTTTCTTCCTGGAATTTATCGATAACTGAATTTACAGCATCACCAAACAAACCCAGGGGAGAGAGAGGAGCATCTAAAAGAAAAGCTTTTTCTTTCTCTTTAATATTGGTTTGATTTAACCACAAATGTCTTTCTGCGGCCACCAGAGCTGCCATAGAACGACCCACTAGCTTGGCCGATTCTCTGGTGGCACGCAGGGATAAATCAGCAGCCTGACGCAGTTCGCGAACTACGTCAGTACTGACCTCCTCACTCTCACTCACGTCCCTTAGCAGATCAGCCTGGTATGCCTGCAAGATTGACATAGTATGCAGGCATGACGCAGCCTGACCTGCTGCCGAATATGCTTTACCCACCAAAGCCGAGGTGTTTCTTAATGGCTTGGTGGGTAATGCCGGTGCCTTAAAAGATGATGCTGCTTCGGGGGAGAGATGGCTCGCAAGCGTCTTTTCCACACGAGGCAAAGCACCATAACCATGAGCCTTGGCTCCCATTATATTTGCATATGTTGAAGTCTGGGGACTAAACACTCTATATGACACCGGTTTTCTCCATGATTTCGACACCTCGGTGTGGAGATCATGGAAAAACGGCAGGCACCGGCGTGGAGG